AATGGAAATAACCCTGCTTCCTAAGTGTGACTCCTGCCTTTGACATCAACCACAAGGCTTAGTAACTAACCAGCACCAGGAGATCACTCTACTCCCCTGCTTGGCACATTTCCAGTCCTGGTGAATTTCATGTGTAAGGAAAAGGTACTGCTACATCCTGATGAACTAAATCCATACCCAACTAGTGTATCAAGATAACAATCAAAGTGAACAAGCTGCTGTGACAACCTCATCTGCAGAGCATCCCAGAGACAGATGAGAAAGACTGCAGTTTGAAATTCTATACAACTAAAGCTGACTCAGTCCTTTCTTAGCACCCAGCATAGCTTGCAACAAGCAGACTGAATATTTAATTGACATTCTAAACCCAAGGGGTCAGAAATTAATCTTTTCTTATACAGAAGAATGAACATAGAGGAATAGTTTCCAACCAAAGTACTTCAAGCCTGATCAGAAAACTAAATAAAGCAGCAACAACTCAGTACTCCATCTTCAGAGGAAAGCAGTTTAAAATGCACCTTAGAGATATCTGGTCAGAGACTCAGAAGCAGTACATTTTTTTGATTCATTAGCTGGCAAAAGACCTATCACAAGTTAGCATCTCGTTTTTCTTCAACATCTAAGTTTACTTCACATAAAGGAAGCAGGCTGAGATTGTTAGGGGTTGAATTTAAGAAAACATCTAAAGAAGTCCAGTCTCTTCACTACAACCACTGGACAATGTAAGAGTAAAGTGATGACAAGAGGGTCAGACCTCCTTAGCTACACCTCAGAACAGCTCCTTCCTCAGTTGGGCAATTCCCAGCCCCAGTGCAGAATCTCTGGGAAGAACGAGGAGCTGCCCTGTCCGTGGTGCTCAGCCACAGCAGCAGCCACCAGGGAGGCTGCTGAGCTTGCTGCACCTCTGGAGCACCTGCTTCCCAAACACCCAGCAGGAGCAAAAGGGCTAGAAAACAAACTGAAACCTAAACAGGCAGCAATTCAACAAAAGACAACCAAAAGCTTAAACAAAGGTTTCCTTTTTGGTAGCTCTGGGCTATCCATCACTGCCCAGGGACAGAGCACTGCATCCCTATGAGAGCTGTTAACCAGGGGGGTTACCCTGTGCCAGACTGGATGGCCTCTGAAGGAGCCCAGAGCAAACACCTTGCTGGGCTGGGTTACACAAAGCCACCACACCGTGTGTGCAGGCTCACCCTGCTGCACAAAGAGAGCACATCCAGAGTCTTCCTGCCCTCCTCCAACAGGGTGCTTCTGATCATTCCCTTTTAGGCCTGAGCATTAATGCACCTCACCTGTCATGGGGATTACAGCTATACCCAAGCAATCTGAAAAGCAAAAGTACACACAGCAACACCATGCACTAACAATAGTTTGGTCCTATTACAAAACTTCCCAGTTTCTCTCAGCTACACAAAGAACTAACAAGACAATCATGTCCTACTCCAAAAGTCATGGGAAAGTCTAAAAAGTGTGCTGGGAGAACTAACTCCCACTGGAATAGGAAGGAAATAATTCCTCTCAAGTTACATCTTACCTATTATAGCCAAAACACCTTACCTATTATACGCCACATTCTGTTGTTGTGTCCCCTACAGGACTCAGCAGAAGAGGAGACTTTGTCTCTCTCAGGAGAGGTGCTGCCTCTTAAAGCAACTTTAATTTTGGGATTAAACAGCAGCAGCTTCTCACATGGGAACTAAAGGGAGAAGTGAGTAACTACTTTCAGGAAGTCTGACCCACACCTTCCCAGAGTGTCGTTATATCCAAAGACAAAGAACTGGCTAACAGGAGCTTACAGGGGCCTTGCTTTGCTGTGTGAAGTCCCAACATTACAGGCTGACAGCAGAAGCCATTCAAACTACTCAGTGAACACAGCCTGAAGCCTTACCTGCACTTAGCATCAAAACACAAGCCTTTCATGGCACAATGAACTGTTTGTACCTCTCTAAGACATTTAGGTTGCCAAGACAAGAAGCAGGTGAGCATTGTTTGAAGGGACTAGATCTCTAGCAGCCACGATTTCACTCATGCCCTTTGCAATGGGTTATTTTTGTATCATGAGAAAGTATAACAAGTGAAATCACACACTGAACAGTCTGGATGCGGTTCCAAAAGTGCCTCTGTAGATGATCTTGTCTATCTAGATTGCCTGCACCATTATGTGGGAGAACTCTTGAGACTGGAAGTGGGAAAATACTTGCTCTCCAAGCTTGACAGCTATGATAAACCAGCACAGAAGTCAGAGAAGGCTTACTGCACACATCTTAACTATGGTCCCTCCAATTGAGAAAGGGAATTACACTGCCAGATTATGATGGCTGTTCTCACCCATAGCATGGGGTACAAACTACTCATTTATCAGACAAGGAAAAAAAACCAATTTGTATTCAGAAAATAATTTCATCCTACATTCCATAAAAGCCATGCCTACATACTAATCTCATAATAGTGATTAAGCCCAGCCTAACAATACTTCTCATTGTTTTGAAAATTAGACCATTAGGAAGAAAACACATGGAGGCATCACAGCTTGCATTAGACACTATGAGCTGGACAAGTATCCGTGGAAAACTATAAAATTATTTAGCTGGATTTCCCACTCAGTTAATCAGTCCTGAAGCCAATGGAGTCATTGCATAACTAACCAGATTTCTCTAAAGAGCTCTTAACAATTCACACTGCTTTTATAACCTGCCTATGTTTTAGGGAAAACTGAAGAAGAGAGCAAGTTTAAAGACTGAAGGAAAACTTAAGAAACATTCTGAGTATCAAACAGTTCAGGAAATATAAAAATTGATAGCCATATTTAACATTGCAGTGGTGACCAAGTCACTACTATTTTACAACATCTAACTATTATCTCTCATTAGTAAGTAGCTCAACCATAGTTTCACCTCAGTTTTGAAGTAAAAAGCACATAAGCCTGTGGTATGCATAAAAATTACTGCTCTCATACAACATAAGCCAGTCATATTAATATACTATAAAAGATACTAGTAACTTGATTCATATACAAGTGCCTTTTTAACTGAATACATTATGTATAAGAATCCTGTGTTTAGCATGAAAAAAGTCTAAGAAACATTGCCTGAGAAATTGAAAGAGATTAATATGCTTAGTGTACATTTTATTGTTTCTATAGATCTCTAATAACACATATACCCTCAAAAGTGGAAGCTTACCCCTGTATAAAAAGCTGAAGTTATTGCAGTTTTACGTATGGCTCTGTAGTAAACATTATTGTGAAAGGCTAATGGGTCAGCTCCGGGAAGAGCAGCCCACCGGCACAAAAGGCGCCGGGAATTCAGGACAACATTGACATCTAGTGGACACGGGGAAGGGAGCCCCACACAGGGAAAAGGTCCAGCTGCTGCTCCTGCTGTGGGGGGGCAACCCTCAAATTGCTACCATGCAATTAAGAAGATTAAAAGACAGAGCTGCAGCTGATGAAAGTTAAAGTGATGTGATGATTCATTTTTTAATTAAATATTCTTTTGAAAGAGAAATGAAGACCCTTCCATTTAAGATTTAGGATATAAGTGCAGGTTAAAACTTGAGAGAACAACACAAATCTTTGAGAGGACGTAGACAGATACATGGCCCAGATATACAGGAGCACACATTTACTACCCTTTCTATTCCCACCACATCTACAAACTTCTACTTTGAAGTTGCTCTTGTTGGGACTTCAAACACTGAAAAATAAAGTGAAAACAAAAACCCCAGAAGTAAAAGTTCAAACCACTATTTAGCACGTCCCTTTTCTCGTCATTCTGATCCTTCTGTTACTGTAATACCAGCCACATAAGGGAGGTAAATTAAACATTCCCAATACACCAGCCAGTAGCTGCTGAGCTCCAGAGAAGAGGAATCTGAAACATGAGGCTACAGGTAACTCAAAATTAACAAAAATACCTGCTCACAAGTAACCCGATTAGTTTATAAGGTGGGTTTCTACAGAGGTCCTGAATTATTTTAAATCTGCTTTTACTATTTACCTAAATACTAGCAAAACTAAGCCATTAAAGCAACTTAAATCTCATCTCAGTTGTCTCATCAAAGAAATTTGTTCTGCCTCAAAGTGTCATCAGGAAGAGATAAGTTTTGACTACTTCTCAGTGACCGTCCAGCATAAAAACCACACTGCAAAAGATAGGAAGCTATACTCAAAAGTGAAATATAATTCACGAACACATCTTGTAATTGACATTATACTTTCCATTTCAACTGGTACCTCACTTGCTGTGCATATGACTTTAGAAAAGCCAGCACTGCAATTCCAGTAGCTCTCGCCATCAGTAGTGTCCAGTCAGCCATCAGCAAATACAAAAGAGATTCCTGCTTACATGAAGAGTCTCTAACCAGCAGAATACAAGAAACCTTTGCATAACTGATCGTCAGGCCTTGTGCCCCAATTTTTTGGCCAGGGTCTCAAAGCTTAGAATCAGATGCTACTAGTTAACAAGAGTGCACGCAGCCTCCCAAAACAGAAATCCAGACTCCAGAGATATTTATGCACCATACACAGCCATAACTAAAACCTGTAGCTTTAAACTCTGATTCCTAGTGAGACTCTATAGCTGAGCAACCCATCCTGTAAAACTTGAATTCATGCTTTTTTTAAAGCCTACTAATGCAAGTATTTAAAAGCTAAATCTCCCTTTTGATGTATGCAATGCATGGGGTTTGCAGATATTTTGAGAGAGATCAAAGTTTAACCAATTTTAAGCAGCCCTGTTCTGGAAAATCCCACTCTTTATTACATTACAGGATCTATACATCAAGTCTGTTACAACCATGGTGCCTGATAAAAAACAGAAACCAGTTTACTAAATTTACAAGATAAAAACTAAAAAGCAAGCATCAAAATAAACCCAGCTGTTCCTGCTCTCCAGGCACAATGCCATGTTTTACCTCCAAAACCAGTTTTACCACATCCTTAGGTCCTATAGACAGAGCACTATATTAAGACAGAAAGCAAAGCACCATTGACCTACCCGGATTTCCTGGAGATTATGAAAATTATTTCCCACTCTGACAGAAATTTTGCTTGGAGTGTAACTTTCATCAGATTTGTAGTCTGCATAAATACATAACGTCTTCACTGTGGTTTTTCTTCTGCAAGAAGCAACAAAGGCCACATAAGCATTATAAAGAACTATATTCAGGATGAGTTTGTTACCAGCTCGTGATAACAAAGGATTTATATGTTCTAAAACTTAGAACAAGTGTCTACTGATTTATAAGAACCCTGCTGTTAAAACAGCTAGGTGTTTTTTCACATTGTTATGCACACACAGTTGGTTTGCACTGTTCTCCTTTATCTACCTTCAGAAATGTCAGCATACCAAGAAATATAACAAAAGGCCAAGGTGCCACATAAGCACTTGTATGTGAAGAAGCACGTTCAGCTTATCAAATACAGGCTCTATTACTATACCAAAGAGTTCTCCAGGAAGCAAAGGGGGAAAAAAAGAAAGAGGTGACTAGCATCTAATCTCATTTTAGGAGTCTGGTTAAAGAAAAAAAAGTATCCTACACAGATTAGAACAGGAAAAGAACCACAAAACAACCAGTTGTTAAGTTATACAGGACTACTTCAGAAACAATCACCTAAAGTTATACTCAAAGACAGAAAGTTGGTACAAAAATGTAACCTTTTTGTTGCTTATTTAGGCATTTAGTAACCATAGCATTATAAAAATGAGATTTTCAAATGCTATCTAACTGGCTTCTTGCCAGTTGGGTAACAGATTAACCTAGGAGTTCCAAATTTCCTATCTTGGAGAGCACTAATCAACATGAAGTTACATAAAACATCCTAAAATATATAGAATAATATTTAATACCTAAATTGGATGTTCACCAAATGAGGCTGTGATCCATCTGACTGCCAGTAAGTTTCTAGATTATCATCTCGTAACTGATCCACTCCAAATCCTAAAACAAAGAAATGTGATAGTCTTGAATATCCCATTTCCATGATGCAGACATCACAGACAACTTTTCTTCAGGTATTACAAGCTGAAGTGTGTATCCCAAGCTACAATGAAAGGAAATATTTCCAGAAATCCAACTTGTGCCTATGCTTTTGTGACAGAACTGTAACAGGGGAATCTGTCAATCAAAGCCCAGTCCTCAAGTGTCTTTCCATTCTTATTTCCTACTGAAGTCTGTGAGGTTTGAAATGATTCAACACGTCCTGGAACTTCAAATGGCCCTCTGGTAATTCATACCAATTCCAAGAACAACACTTAATGGTTAGGCTTTTCCACCTATTCTATTATCTAACTGCTTGAACTAAAGAAAAAATCACTAGCAGAGACCATTCATATATTATGAAATTTTAGCCAAATATAACATTTTCTTTTCAAGTAGCCTCCTGAAATATTATTACTTTTTCAAATTAGTAGCTAGAACAAGCAATAAATGCCAAAAACAGTATTCCTGAACGTTAACGCTCTCACAGTTAAAGAAACAATTCCAAGTCTTCATGTTCTCATTCCCTCATTATCCACCTTTTCACTAATTACATCCCACACTAACATTGTGCATAAAAAGATGGCTGAATCTGGGCTGCAGCAGGACACCAGATCCATCCCCAACAGATGTTTCTGAAGCAGCAACTCCATTACCTCAGCTGAAAAGAGCACAGATTTCCCTACGTTTTGGGCAGGGATAAGCTATCATGGACTGCACCTCAGAGCCATGTACAATAGTTTCACTTTACTTGCAGGATTTTAGGGAGCCACACTATAGTGGCTGAGTCCACATGAAGTTTGAACAGATCATTCAGGTTGCTCTCAGCTACATGTTTTTTCTAAAAACCAAAGATACCCAGACAAAGTCCCAAAGCATAGAAACAATTGCACTGTGCAAATTTGAAAAAAAAAAAAAGGTAAAAGCTTTGTTTTCTTAATATGAGAGTAGGATTTCTGATATAGTTATAACTTCCATATTGCATTGAAATTAGAGCAGGCCAAAAGTATTTTTAGTGGTTACCCATGCAGCTTACACCACAGCAGTTTTACTGCTATGGTCTATGCATGTCTTCTTATCAAAACACAAACCTCTACGAGGAAAAACATACATTTGGCTTCTTACACACTTTGTTGTGATTTTACCTGGCTTACAGGATGAAAGAGACCAAACTGCTTGGGAGCCTATTTCTCTAACAGTACCAGTCCTCTCTAACTGCTTTGGATCAGCACCAGGTGGTGTCTTGTTTGGAGTCGTCATTTCTAGTAAAAGGAAACAAGTGAGTTAGTTGATAAGAAAATTAAAAGTTTCTGTTTGCTCCTATAGACACTAATTCCTTGGCCTCACATTTACAATGGTCTACAGAACATGTGGTTTATATGTTTACACATACATAAATATATACATTTTTGCATGTCTGCAGAACCTTTTGTTTATAGATAATAAAAGCATATATACAAGTAAAAAAAAAATATATCTTTAAACAAGAAGTTAGTCAGGGTTTTGGGATTTGGTTCTGTACCGTTTTCTTAGGTTTTAAGACATTAAAATAGACCGTAGTGATTTAAATACATAGCAATACAACTTCATCTCCCCCAACACACACTTAAGAGTTTTCTTAATCTGCAAGTTCAGAAGTTAGAGCAAGCCTGTCCTCCAGGAAACACTTGCCCTTAAAAACAGGAAATGAGAGTTTAAACAAGGTGCATATTCTCTAACTTGGTAGGAATTGGTTATGACCACATTAATCCACGGTCTATTTCCTCAACTTCACAACTTCATCTGGAGTCATTAGCCTGTGACTTGCATTGCTCAAGTAATCCCATTCAGTTTCAACACCAAGGCTATTTCCATATATGCTACAACAATCATGCTGGGTTTCATGTACTATAGAGCATCTTACCAATAGTACCTTAAAAGACTTTTAAAAAAAAATTAAAAAAAAAAACCAACACCAAGGCTACTTCCATATATACTACAGCAATCACTTTGGGTTTCATGTACTACAGAGCATCTTACTACTAGCACCTTAAAAGACTTTTAAAAAAAAAATTAAAAAAAAACCCATAAGGTCCATGCAAAGAACTAATTTAAAGCTTAAAATTAAACACAAAGCACTCAAGAGTGTCCTGGTTTTAGTTACCCTAAACAATAACAGAGTGTCAGGGAACTAGCGTTGACTTCTCATCCTTTGCTTACATTCATGACACCATGTTATGCTCCACTAACCTCAGAAAAGGTCTTCCACTACCTTCCCTAGATAGCACAAGGTACTAAACTGGGCAGGTATCCTAGTTTGGGGTTTTTTTTTTCCCCCTTTTGCAAACAGTCCTGAGACAAAACTTCCAAGGGGTTTTTGCTGCTTTCCCACAATAAGACTGCAGTTCTGACTATCATAAAAAAGCTGAAGAAACAATTACATGTCTAGTAAGATCTAGGTACTGGCACCAGCAACCATCACAAAAGGCCACAAACAGAGAGCCTTGATCAAACACCATCCTCTCAGAAAAACTGGACTTTCACAGCTAATCCTACACATATTGCCTATACAGTCATATAATTCAGATACACTAATTCTAATGCCATACAATTATGAAAAATCTCACACAAAAGATGTTTTAAAGTCCTTGCCTGTGCAAAAGAGGTTTATGCAAAAAAAACCAAGCTATTTTAAAAATTATTTAGCTATTTCTATAACAAGATATTAGTACATAAATCTTACCTAGTCACTGTAAATACTATATTATCCATTTTAAACTTTCTATCAGTATTTACAATAGGTTGTTTAGAGCTGTTCTCTATTGAATGGCTACACCATAAGCCTTTGTATTTGTAAAAAAGATTAGACTAGAACAGAAAATAACTTAGTCTAGCTGCTACTTAATAAAACTTTAATTTTATTGATAGCAACTTCAATAAAACACAATGCCACAAGTATTATAATCTTCTAAGAATCTAAAACAGCCTTAGAAAAACATTACAAAACCCTGAGCTCACAGCTAGCTGAAAAGCAAACATTTCTCACAGAATCACAGAATGGTTTGGGTTGATGGAAGGGACATTCAAAAATTATTTAGTCCAACACTCATCCCACACCAAAATTCAAATTATGTTTACCAAGCATTGAGGAGATTATTTTGTTGGAAGCATTAATTTTAAAGCTCAAATCACACATTAGCCCAAACTCTGTGCTACTTTATTACTTTTTTTTGACAAAAAAACAAGTAAGATAGGTTGAGCTGCATTCATTTCAGTTCTCACATTTACACAGAAACCAATAATGCTCCTCACCTCTAAAAACATATATAGAAAATTCAACTTCAAAGTAAACAAAATTATTCACTTGATACAAAGCAGCTCTTGAATCACCACCAGCTACTCTTTGCACTCCATTGACCTGAGGAGAAAAATAACAAAAGCCTCCAAATCTGAAAGTCACATCTTCGCCTCTAAAAACATATACAGAAAATTCAACTTCAAAGTAAAGCAAAATTATTTACTTGATACAAAGCATCTCCTGAATCACCACCAGCTACTCTTCACACTCCTTCATTGACCCGAGGAGAAAAATAACAAGAGCCTCCAAATCTGAAAGTCACATCTTCATTCCTAGAAATAGGTACTGCCAGACTACTGAAAAGCTCGACCTTAAGGCATCAGAAGTATGCAAACACCCCATCAAAATCCACCAAAATAAGGTAAATCACAGATTGAGATTTCTTACAAGCTTCGGTGCACACGGGGAACTTCTAAATAACTTAATACTTCCAAGAGTTGTGTTGCACAAAAGCTTGAGGCCTGCATTTTGGGGATCTGAAATACACAGCAAGGAATGGCACCCAACCTTCCTCGTGTCTTAAACCCAGCTTGCTTCCTTCTGACAGACAAAGCTACTCTACATCCAGATTTCATCTCCAAACCACTATCTGCACACAAACTGTGCATCAGTGACACAAAAGACTGAAAATCTTTAATGTGTGAACTAATCAATTCAGTTTTTCATGACAGAACTTCTGCTTAACCAGCTCGGTAACAACACATTCCCTGGAGCTTCACTGAAGCTTCCCAGTGCTCTCAGAATTCCAAAAGCAGAGAGCTGACAGGTACTCAGTACAGCCACACACCAGCTCACTCAGGTAACACTTCATGTAAAGTGTTAGTCACACTTCTGCTAGTAAAGGGACTGAGTACATCATTCTGGGCAAGACACAGATACTTAACATCAAAAGTAATTTAAGTCACCAAATTTGGAAAAAAAAAAAAACAACCTTAGCCCAGGAAGATAATGGAACAAGAACTGTTTTTTTCTTATTTTTCTCAGGCTGTATCAAACCAAGTAATCTGTCTAGAAGCCCTTCTCCTTGGCAAAAGTTGAAAAACAGCAAGACACATTGCACCTGTAGAAGCACTGAAAACTGACTGGAAACCTCCCAATTTTCCAATTCAAAAAGATCATCAATAGGCCACCGATTCCTTATTAACAAAAAAATACATTAATATCACTTTGCCACTTTGAACTACACTGTGTACACATCCTTTGTTAAAGTCAAGGCAGCTTTTTCACACCCTCCTTGAACTCTTTATCCCTCAGCATCTTCCTTGCAGAAGTTTGCTCTTTTCCATAGAACACCCCTGTGAAGTAGCAGCCACTAAAGATGTTTTAACAAACACACAGCTCATAAACAGAGTGAAATGGATTTAAACGGTTCAACAGTCTACCTTCCACAGCCAAAACAGACAGGTCATTCTCCTATACCAGTGGAAGACACTTTTAGAAGGTGGACACCTGAAAGCAATCCCTTCACTAAGCACCTACATACTCCTCCAGGACAGGCTGAAGAGGAGATGGAGAAGACACATTGTGGTCCTTTCCTACTAACACCCCATAAAAACCCAGGCTCGAGGACACTTTTAGATACCACAGCAGTTTTCTCCAATTAAAATTTGTAATTCCACCATGTTAGCAAGCACAGAACTGTTTAAACACACACCTATAGGGATCTTTGAGAGACCTGTAGCTTAAAAAACAGCCATACCACTTCAGCTAACACCCTTATAAAACAGAATAAATGTTTTTCTTGTCTTTATATGTAATCACACCTGTTAACATGCCAAAATAACATCTAACTGAAAGACACCACGGTATTAATGTTTAATTTTCTATGTGCTACAGTGCTTGAAGTCTTTTTGGGATACCATTTACTTTTCAGAAGTACACATTCCAGTAATTATGCTTTTGATTTTTCTCCCCAAGGCTCTCCTCCTGCCTCAGTTCTTGTTAACTGAGCTTAATTACTCCGATTGCCAACTTGCTATCAATCTTCTCAAGATCACCATGAATTCTGATGCTGAGCTGTACAGTGCTTGCCACCCCTGTTTAAAAGTTAATTATTTACAAATCAGCTTCAAGAGCAATTTTTCAACCAGCTGTACAAGAATTCACAAAAATTACTTTGAGACCACATTTCAGTAGCTTGTTTTCAACCCAGGTAATGGCAGGAACCCTGTAAAACTCAAGATAAACCCCTTATATTCCTTCCTCATTAACTTCATTGGCTACTGTAAAAAAAAAATAAAGAAAAAATTGATCCAGACTATTCTTAACAAATCAAGCTAGTCCATTTCCTGTTTGCACACTGTTTTTAATTGGCTTCTACTTACTGACAAATTCCCCTCCCAAACCACCTCCTTGGAATCTTTCAGGGGATCTATGCTCATCTAGCTTTGCTCTTTTTATAAATTATTATTCTGATTACATTCCCACCATGGCATTTTATTCAGTTTTAGCAAGTATCCAACTACAACTTTTCCAGCAAAACTGAACAAAGGCTGCACTGACTGCTCCAGCAGTTTTGCAACATCCATGATTTGGAATTGTTTTTCCTGTCCTTCTTAACAGAAGGGTGTTTCATACCACAGACTCTGTGATTTCTGTACTTGCACTACTCATTTCACCTCACAAGTTCTTTTCCCTGCTCCTATTTTCTTTGCATGCACCTTTAAGGGCTTGAGGCCTTTAAAAATCTCAGGCTATAGCCAGAAATGAGCCTCTTACTATACTTCCTACTTTTTATTTGAAAGGTAACATTAAACAGTAACACTGAGCATTCAAATTACTAATGTTCATTTAATACCAAATAATGATATTAAGTGGTCAGTACTAACATTTCAACTCGCTCACTTGTACATTTGGTCTCTGATTATTCTCTCAATAGTTTTAAACACCTATTATTATTACTCTGCCTCCAGTACATTGATTT